AGGAAGCCCAAAGGCGGCCAGGCGTTCGCAGTCAGGAAAAGGCTACCCGATCGATGGCATCCTGACGATCCGTCGGTGGCTCTTGATGAGCAGTGGTTTCCGTCCGAAGCCAAGGCGCTCATTTTTTACCTCCTCCTCCTCCTCCTCCTCTTTTGCGCTGGGCGAGCATTAAGGCTACGCCTTTTTGCGTTCCTCCTCCTCCTCCTCCTTCTCCTCCTGATTCCTGATTCCTGATTCCTGATTCCTGATTCCCGATGCATTTGGGGGTTTGCACTTGCGTGCCTGAGCAGGCGCACAGTCGGCTTCGTCCCCTGTCGCGGCTCGATCGCCAGGCTCGCTTGAAAGCCTGTCGGGCTCGAGAGCCGCGCGCAGGCCGAGGCCCTCGGGAACCGGGGTCGTGCGGGCAAGAGCCGAGGCTGCGACCCGGCGTGCGCGCGGCACGGGGCCTCCCTGCCGAGGAGGGGAGAGTTCGGCTGACTCGTGTGGGCGGGCGGGGCCGCCCTGTCGGCGACCCGCTGGCTGCGGAATGCGAGGGCCCGCAGCTGGTCTGACAGAAGTCCTCTCGGATGGGCGGCCCCGCCCCGTCGTTCCTCTTTCTCTCTCCTTGACCTCTCCGTTTAAGCGCAGTGAACCTCCTCCTCCTTCTCCTACTCCTGCGCGCCCATCCGCATTCTCACCCCTCGTGCTCAATCCCCCCATCCCCCCCCTCGAGCAGGTACTCGCCGCCTACGTGGCCTGGATGTTTCCGGCTATACAGCTCGACCTCGGTCGGCTTGCCCTGCGGCGCGCGCCGTTGGCCACCCCCGACGAAAAGCTGCAGCGTTGTCTGCTGGCGGTGCTTCGAACAGTCGTGCCTCGCACGTGGTCCGCTGTGGCACTGCATGTGCGATTGGCTCGATCTCGGCAATTTTGGCAGGCCCGTTTACTTCAGGCATCCCATGTTCGACTTCACCTTGCCGCTTTCCTCCGTCCTTTCCCCGAGAGGCCACATGGGTCGGCGCTATTCCTGGACCATGGCGTTCTCGTCGTGCACGCGATCACGATGTGTCTGTTCCCGCAGCCGCTGCTTGTGATGCACTGGATGGCGGTGCGCTCCGTCACGCTGGTCTGCAGCGTGCTGCCGCTCTTGCTGGCGTTGTCCACCATCGTCCACTTCACCGGGCTGTCGCAGCCTGTGCTGCACTGGATATTGGCGTTCTTCTCCGTGCTGATCCTTCGCGCGCGTATTCGCGGGGAGTCTTATCACGATCACCTCGCTGCTGCCGCTGTTGTTGTCGCGAGCTCTACGCCCCTACCGCCGCGGCGAGTGCTGCACTAGCTGGCGGCAGTTCTCGAGTCGTTGGTGCTCCTCTTGCGGATGTTGGCATCTGTTGGCGGCTTGCTGGTAGCGTTGTTTGTGGAGGCGATGGTGCACATGACACCTTGAATTCTGCACAACCCGTCGGCCAACTGCATCGCCTGCCTCAATTCTAACAATATATTTCTCCACAAACATCTTACATGTGGTGTGGTGGCGAGTGGCGTTCCTTCTGGTGCTGATGCGCATTGTGCTGCCGTCGTTGGTTCTGCCCCACACGAAGATAAGTTTCCACGTGTTGCTGCTGGTGACGATGAACTCGCTGGTGGCGTTCCTCATCATTCCGATCTTCCGCATGCGCGTGATATTCTCGCTATCTGCCTTATTGGTGATATGTTTTGTTTGCTGCGGCGTTATGCGAGATCAACTACTTCTGCTGCTGGTGCATCATTCACGGAAAGATACTCTTGCGGTTCCGTTGCAGGTGATGTGCCAGCGTTGATATTGATCGTGTTGGTTTGCATTGTGATGCCAACGCTGGTTGTTCTCTGCACGGAAACGGGCAGCTGCTGCTGACGCGCACACGGGGCGCGGTCCTCTACACAGTGTAGCCAGTGGTGGTGACCAATTGGATAGTAGTGAGCATGATGATGCGGGCTTGCGTCTTGCAGCCCGCAGTAGTGCCGCTGCTCACGATGACCAGGTTACCCGCGCAACTAGCGTCGACGTTCCTCATCGTGTTGTGGCACGTGACATGGCGTTATTGTGGAGCTGCTGCGGTGGCATGTCGGAACCGCCATGCCGACAAAAGGACTTGTGGGAGGAGGCAGAGACCGGCAGCATCACCCTTCTAAGCCAGATTCGTATTTCCCCCGTCTTCTGGACGCGGCAGGCTGCAGGAGCGCCAATCGCTAACGAGCGGCCACTGGTTCCCGATCCGGATCTGCTTGGCCGTCGAGATAAACCATCCTGCGGAGGATGGGGAAGGGTATAGCAACCAATTACCGGCAAGCGCAGAAGGCCACCGGCTACGGGCAAACACAGCCGACTGCAGCAGCAGCGCTGCGGCACGAGGGTGTGGAAGCCCTTGCTCCAACCGATCTGCATGAATGAAGCTGTCTCGGGCTCTGCCATGGACAGCGGCTCGCGCTCTGGCACTGGCGCGGGCGAAACCCACTGTACACCAGCCCTAACCGACGTTATCCAGTTGTCCTCCAAGTTATACGCCGTCAGTTTCCCAGCATCTCCAGGACGGCATTTCCTTCAGCTGACGCCTCGGCGCCCACGGCAGCCGCGCGAGTGGTTGACTGAACTGCCTCGGGCTCGCGCTCATCAGCGCGGGCACCCCCCTTCCTTCATCTCCGGCTACCAAACGAGGTGGCTCGGCAGTGTTCAGCAAGAGGGGGGGAGGCAGCCGACAGAAGCATGCTGCGGGGATCGGAAGTGCAGTCACAGGGCGAGCAAGAGTAGTAGAAGGCAGAGGAGCAGCGAGGACTTGGTGCGAGGAGGATCAGACTATCAGTAACGATGATGATGATGCTGATGCTGATGCTGATGCTGATGTGATGCTGATGCTGATGCTGCTGATGATGATGATGATGATGATGATGATGATGACGGTGGTGATGGTGGTGGTAATGATGATCACGACCAATGAGCAGTGATGATCCTGTTGATGATGATGATGAAGATGGCGTTGTTTTGTTGATTATGTTGATGGCGATGACGATGATGATGATGATGATGATGCTGATGATGATGGTGATGATGATGATGATGGTGATGGTGGTGATGGTGATGGTGATGGTGGTGACGATGATGATGACGTTGTTGATGTTGATGATTTTGATGGCGATGGCGCTGGCGAATGTGATGATGGTGATGACGATGATGATGCTGATGATGATGATGATGATGATGATGATGATGAGAAGGAGGAGGAGGAGGCGGGTGATGGTGATGGTAATGAGGTTCATCATAGTAATGGTGGTAATGATGGTGTGGCTGAGGATGATGATGGTGAGGATGAGGATGCTGGTGCGGATGATGACCGGTGATGGTGGCGATGATGGTGATGATGATGGCGATGTTGATGTTGATGCTGATGATGATGATGATGATGATGATGATGGTGATGATGATGATGATGATGATGATGATGATGATGACGATGACTGTGATGACGCTGACGCTGATGCAGATTGAGATTTGTGTTGATGAAGATGATGGTGGTGGTGGTGATGATCGTGGTTGTGATGCTGATGATGATTCAGGTGATGAGTTTGACGATGATGATGACGACGATGATGATGATAGCGATGATAATGATGCTGATGATGATGATGGAGGATGAGGATGGTGATGATGAGGAGGAGCCAGGAAGAGGAGGGATAAGGAGGACGCAGGGGATAACCATCATGATGGTAAACGGATGAGGGTAATGACCATGATGATGATGATGATGTTGATGATGATGCTGATGATCATGATGATGATGATGATGATGATGATGACGACGATGATGATGATGATGATGATGATGATGATGATGATGATGATGATGATGATGATGATGATTATGCTGATGATTATGCTGATGTTAATGCGGATACTGGTGCCGCTGCTGCTGCTGCTGTTGCTGATGATGATGATGATGATGATGATGATGATGATGATGATGATGATGATGATGATGATGATGATGATGATGATGATGGTGATGGTGATGGTGATGGTGATGGTGATGGTGATGATGGTAGTGAGCAGGAAGAAGAGGGGGAGGAGGAGGAGGAGGAGGAGGAGGAGGAGGAGGAGGAGGAGGAGGAGGAGGAGGAGGAGGAGGAGGAGGAGTGGGACCAAGTCCAGGAGCAGGAGGAACATATTGGTAGGGAGAGGCCAAGGGGAAGTTGCGACATGTATATCTATATATATATATATGTGTATATATATATATATATATATGCAAGACTGCATTGGCGCTTCGCGCCATGCACCTTGTTTCTTGAGGCTTTGCACATGTTGGTCGTTCGCGCCATCCCTAGTGGCCTTGGAAATTAGGCCCCTTCCCTGCGGTGGTTTTCGGAAATCTTCGAAAGTTCGGGAGGTCCCTGGCCCTTCCTGGGCCTCCAGGGGCTCCCGAAAAGCGCCGGTTGGAGGGCAAAGGTTATGAGGGAGGGAATCTCGGGGAGCGAGGAGAGGGAAGCGGATGTGGGGGAGGACGAGTGGTGGAGCGGCAGAAAGAGGAGGAGGATGAGGTGGAGAAGTAGGAGGAGGTTCCAGAGGAGGAGCAGGAGAAGGGAAAGAGATGGCGCCGTCGAGAGGAGTCAGATGTACGCACACGCTTGCAGAAATTTATGGGTGAATGGACGAGAAAAGGCCTTCGTAGGCCCGCGCATTGGCCGGCTCGTGGCTCAGGTGCCCCAGTGCGCAATGCGAAGGAATGGCAATCGCTCGAAAATGTGCATTTCCTCTCGGCGAGGAGCATCGAGGAGCATCTTTGATCATCGAGCAGAGGAAGCGCACGATATCGGAACATGCACGAGGAATGGAGGTCCGAGCGATGGCAAGGGAGGGGGAGGGGAGCTGAGGCCAGGGAGGGAGGGAAGCAGCTGGGGGGGGTCGGGCTGAGGGAGGGAAGCGGGAGGAGGCGGAGGGGGCGAGGGAGGGGCAGCGTGTGGGCAGTGATCCTGGCGGCGCGGCCGAGGTGCGGAGTGCGCGTCGCAGCTGAGAGTACCCGGACAGCCTATTCTCGCTCTCGGGCCACCTTTGCTCGTGTCAGTTGCACGTCGTTGGAAGCTCACCCCTATCATGCGCTCGTCAGGTGAGCCCTCGGACGAGTGGTTCGTTCGATTCTTGCGAGTTGTAGTCGCGCGCCAGCTGTGCCGCACGCAGCGCGCCAGTACCACACGGAGCACCAAAACAGACAACAGACCCCTTCACGACCACTTCGACTTTCTGTCATTGCCACCATCCTCCTCCTCATCCTGCCTCGCACTGTGGCTTCCCGCTCCCCGTCCGCGCCCTCGCCGGCCCAGTCTTGTTCCCGCGATGGTTTCGGCACTCATGCAGAACACATGGTCTGGAATCCCCCCTCCCCCCAAATGCAACGTTGGTTTCGGATCTTTCGATTTGGGGCCTCCGAATGGTCTTCAAGGAACGTGCCAACTTCGAATTGCGGTGGAGGGGGGAGTGTTGCTTACAGTGGGGGCCCATGCCAAGAAGCACCCTGCTTGCCTCCAGGATGCCCTGGAATTCCTGGGTTTCGATGGTTTTGCCGTGGAAAGCGTGACCTTCCCACGCCAGAGAACAGTGGACGTCCTGGGGTCTCAGGGTTGGGCTTCTTGTGAATGGTTTCTTGTGGTCGAGCCCCGTATTATAATTCCGTTGACAATCATGCGCGTCGTGGTTGCGCGTGGAGACTCGGGCGCTTGCGCTATTCCGACTTGCTCGCGGCAAGTCCCGCGCGCCGTGGTTGCGCAATTTTCGGCGTGGCGAGTCTTCTTGTGGACGGTTTCTTGTGGCAGGGCCCCTACTGCACTCAGTGTCGTTTGACCGACCCCCATCCCCATCCCCTACGAGGCCCCCACCAAATTACCACCCCAGTTGGGGATACACCCCTCGAGACCCGAAGGGAACGGCCTGCATCCCCATCTAGGGGGGCACACCGGCCAGTGGGGCCCAGGCCACGCCGCTGGGAATGGGGATCGGTTAAACGATGCTCAGAAAAGTGCCCCAGAGGGGCCCTTTCCGGCACTTCAATTTCGTGCCACCCCACCCGTGACCACCCGCCCGAGTGTGGAGGAGGAGGAGGCGGAGGAGGAGAATTCGTCGTCCGGTCTTGCCTCCGCCCATTCCTCGTCCAGTCTTGCCCGGTCTCACTCCTCGTCGGGGTCCCATTATTCGTCCGGTCTTGCCGTCGGGGTCCCATTCCTCGTCCGGTCTTGCCTCCGCCTCCTCCGCCGGCCTCGCACTGCCGTGCCGCACCCCCCCCCTCCCTCCTCCCCTCCCAGCAGACGGGCGGGCGGCCCCTCCCCTGACCGCCCTCCTCCTCCTCCTCCTCCTCCTCCTCCTCCTCCTGCTCCTCCTCCTCCGCCTTCTCTTCCTGCTCCCTCCTCCTCCTCCTCCTCCTCCTCCTGCTCCTCCTCCTCCGCCTCCTCCTCCTGCTCCTCCTCCGTCCACCTCCGCCTCCCATGCTCGAGCAGTGGCGAGGCGTCCTGGCTTGCCTGCAGGCCCACCACAGACTGTGCTGAGAACATTTTGCGGTCTGCACGAGATGTTCCTAGAATAGTTATGGCTGAGACCGTGTTGTTTTGACACGTCGGGCTTATGTTATAAGAACATTGTTGTTGTTGTTGTTGTTGTTGTTGTTGTTGTTGAACATTATTAATTCTAAAGAATAATTATTGTTGGGACCCCTGGTGCACGGCCCCCCTGCGCCGCCTAGGCCGCAGCTACATTTTCATCATTTTCGTGAGGAAGCCTCAGGTAATTCGATGTGATCAAGATCCGGTTGTTTTGTTCCCCCCCGCTTTCCCTTGCAAAAAACACTATAAAATGACATTTCTTGTTCTAATATAATCAAATTTCAAGAATCCCTTGCAAAAAATAAGGTAAAGTGGACATTCGCGCGCGCAAGACGAAATCCTTCCAAAAGCTTAGTGTTCGGAGCGATTTTAACATAAAAACATCAAAAAACCAATGGTTTTTCAACAAAAAAATGTCAAAATCTCATCCCGCGCGCTCTTGCGGATTCGTAGGAAACCCAACACTTTTTAAACATTTCTGTCAAACGGGCTTTTGCGAGCAACTTTTTCGAACTTCTGCGACAACGGTTGCGCACCTGCCAGGGCCATCATCCCTGTCAAATAATACCATGCGGGACACATTCGTTTTTTCTTCGCGCGCGCACGCCGAAATCTCCAAAAACCATTGGGCTTCTTAAGAATTTTAGCACCGCGCATCATAAAATCACACGAATCGCACCGTAGGTCCTCGAAAAACACCTGCACGACTTTTCAAAATTTCCACCCGCGCGCGCTGTCCGAATCCTAAAAAAAAACCAATGGTTTTCCAACATTTATGTTACATGAGCTCGCGCGAGCTACTTTCGCACGCTCTTGCATGTGGGTTAACAAGGCTTAACAACTTCTGTGGGTGTACGAACGTAGGCTTAACAACTTCTGTGGGTGTGTACTCCACGCCAGTGTAGTAGCCACGGTCGTCCGCAGGCCACGAAGTGAAGTGTCCGAACGTCATAGGGCGGGAAGCTGGGTGTGGGTGGTGGCGAAGAGTCGTGTGGATATTTGGTAGAGCTTGCACTGCCCCCCCACAAAGTGGGGGTATTGGCTGGCGTCGCATGAAAACCCTGGCACTGGTGAGAACACTGAGCGTTCGGGTAAAGTGATTGTTGTTGTTGTTGTTGTTGTTGTTGTTGTTGTTGTTGAACATTATTTCTTCTAAAGAATAATTATTGTTGGGCCCCCTGGTGCGCGCCCCCCCCGCCGCGCCTAGGCCGCAGCCACATTTTCATCATTTTCGTGAGGAAGCCTCAGAAAACGATGTGTCCAGGATCCGGTTGTTTTGTTGTAATCCGCTTTCCCTTGCAAAAAACACTATAAAATGACATTTCTTGTTCTAATATAATCAAATTTCAAGAATCCCTTGCAAAAAATAAGGTAAAGTGGACATTCGCGCGCGCAAGACGAAATCCTTCCAAAACCTTAGTGTTCGTAGCGATTTTAACATAAAAACATCAAAAAACCAATGGTTTTTCAACAAAAAATGTCAAAATCTCATCCCGCGCGCTCTTGCGGATTCGTAGGAAACCCAACACTTTTTAAACATTTCTGTCAAACGGGCTTTTGCGAGCAACTTTTTCGAACTTCTGCAACAACGGTTGCGCACCTGCCAGGGCCATCATCCCTGTCAAATAATACCATGCGGGACACATTCGTTTTTTCTTCGCGCGCGCACGCCGTCGTCGTCGGCCGCGGGGCCCTGAATAGTAGCCACGGTCGTCCGCATGCCACGAAGTGAAGTGTCCGAACGTCATAGGGCGGGAAGCTGGGTGTGGGTGGTGGCGAAGAGTCGTTTGGAAATTTGGTAGAGCTTGAACCGGCCCCCCCACAAAGTGGGGGTATTGCCCGCCTCCTATGAAAACCCTGGCACTGGTGAGAACGGAGTGTCCCCACGTGCTAGTAATTGTTGTTGTTGTTGTTGTTGTTGCTGTTGTTGTTGTTGTAGTTGCTGTTGTTGCGGTTGTTGTTGTTGTTGTTGTTGTTGTTGTTGGTGGTGGTGGTGTTGTTGTTGCTGTTGCTGTTGTTGTTGCTGTTGCTGTCGATGTTGTTGTTGTTGATGATGATGATGTTGTTGTTGTTGTTGGAACACTTATGGCTTCTAAGAAACTGTCGTGGTAGGCCTATAGGAATGCCAGGACGGTCGGTCCCTGCTCAGCCTCCCCCCCCATCCCTGCCCGACTCATGCGTGACCATTCGCGTTTTTCGGCGAAACCACCCCCAGCCGACGTGGCGTTGGGAAGGGTAAATTTCAGGTTCTACATATATGTATATTCCTATTTATATATTTTTATCGGGCCGGGAGCCCACACCCCAGCGACCCCCCGCCCAAACGAATTTCGCATCCTCGGGCCTGTCTTGCGCCTTGCTGTGGCCATCCTGGGGTCGTCTTGACACCCCCCGAGTCAAGCGATAGTGTACAAGCGAGAAGGCCGAAAGAATTGTTTTTTTGCTGCGTGTTCTCTGCTTTTCCCACTCTCCGGGCCATGTTGCGCCAGCCTTGGGCCTCTTTGGGGCTCGTCTGTGGCCTCAACTGGAGCCGTCTTGGAGGCATCTGTACGCCTCAAGAGCCAATCGGAAGCGACAAGGCGAGAAGACCAAAAACCATGATTTCCAATGATTTTCCTACATCTGTCGATCTCTGGGCCCCCCTCTCCGGGCTCTATAGGGCCGGGGAGCGCCCCTTTCCCTCCCCCGCCCTCCCCCAAAAGACTTTCGAATCCTCGGGCCTGTCTTGCGCCTCCCTGTGGCCGTCCTGGGGTCGTATGGACGCCCCCCGAGTCAACCGGAAGTGAAAAAGCGGGAAGGCCGAAAGCATTGCTTTTTTACTGCGTTTTCTCTTCTTTTCCCACTCTCCGGGCCCTGTTGCGCCAGCCTTGGACATCTTTGGGGCTCGTCAGGGGGCACAGTTGGAGACGTCTTGGAGCTGTCTCGACGCCTCAAGAGCCAATCGGAAGCGACAAGACGAGAAGACCACAAACCATGCTTTCCCAATGATTTTCCTACATTTGTCCACTCTTGGGCCCCACTCTCTGGGCCGAGTTGCGCCATCTCCGGGCCCTGTTGCGCCAGCCTTGGGCCTCTTGGGGGCTCGCCTGGGGACTTATTTGGAGACGTCTTGGAACTGTCTGGACGCCTCAAGATCTAATCGGAAGCGACAAGTCGAGAAGACCACAAACCTGGCTGTTCCAATGATTTTCCTACATTTGTCCGTCCTTGGGCCCCACTCTCCGGGCCCAGTTGCGCCAGCCTTTGGTCTCTTTGGGGCTTGTCTGGGGACTCATCTGGAGCCGTCTTGGAGGCATCTAGACGCCTCAATAGACAATCGGAAACGACAACAGGAAGCGAAAAAACGAAACAACAGGAGCGCCATCTGCAAGAAACCGGCATCCCAGCACCGCCCATTCCGAAAATAGCAGGTGGAAGATAAACAGGAGGAAGTAGAGGAACAGGAAAGGGAGAGGCGAAGGAGGCGGAATGAGGAAAAGGAAGGAAGAGCAGAAAGAGGATGAATATGAAGAGGAGAAAGAGGGGGGAGGAAAATGCGGAGGAAGAGCAAGAGGAGGAGGAGGGTGCCCTGCTTCATGCTACCTTAACGAGTCGCCTGCGACTTCCTCGCGCCTCTGGGCGCAGAAACGCCCTGAGCTGGCCAGAGCTCGCGTTGTCAAGTCGCTCCCGCATAGGAGATCCTGACCCACTCCGACTTGGCGGTGGCCGGCCTCACGTCCACGCGCGCGCACGCCGCCTGCATTCGAACTCACAAGGAATAAGGTGCATGGCGCGAAGCGCCAGTGCAGTCTTGTATATATGTATGTATGTATGTATGCATGTACGTACGTACGTATGTATGTATGGATGGATGGATGGATGTATGTATGTATGTATGTACGCATCTGTGTATATATATATATATATATTAGGACAGCCCCCCCCCCAGCACGCATTCCTGGCCTTCTTTCCTGTTGGCGTTGTTGTACACTCCTCTCCCTTTCCTTTCCCCTTCTTCCTACATTCCCTTTCCTTTAGAGGAATCCTGTTGTGTTAGTTTCCAATAGGAAGCCGATTGCAACGGGTGTCATTAGAATCCTTTTTGTAAACGCTCTCGCTAGGAATCCTATGGTAGAGGCTTCCAATCCGAATCCTCTCGTCTAGACTCTCAATAGGAATCCTTTTGTATTAGTTTCCAAGAGGAAGCCGATTTCAACGGGTGACATTATAATCCTTTTGTAAACGTTTCCAATAGGTATCCTATTGTAGAGGCTTCCAATGAGAAACCTCTTGTATATGGCCACCGAACCCTATGTTTCCATTTAGATGTTTGAGATTTTTGGGATGGGAATCATGGAAGCCATATGATTTCACAGAGATGTTTGAGATTTTGGGTTTCTGGCGCCTCCGAACGAAAACACACGCTGAAGCCCCCCACGGCTCCGAATCTCAAAAATCTCTGTGAAATCACAGGGTTTGGCACTCCCTTGCTTCGCAAACCGTATGTTTTCACAGAGATGTTTGACATCTCTGGGCTCTGGGAAGCTGAGGCGCTGATTTTCGTTCGGAGGGCCAAGAACCAAAAATCTCAAAAATCTTTGTGAAATCATATGGTTTCTGTGATTCCCATACCAAAAATCTCAAAAATCTCTGTGAAAACACAAGGTTGGGGGGCCTCTTGGGCTCCGGAGGAGGAGGAGCGCCTGGGAGCGCCTGGGGGGCGCCTGGGAAGCGAATGGGGAGCGCCTGATGCAAAATCAGTGCGTGCCTGCAGCGGCTCCAAGGGACGCTCCGCCCCATCCACGAGGACCCAGAGCGACATCTGGACCCAGCGCAATCGGTTACCTATTGGAAAGTAATACAAAAGGATTCTTAGTGAAAGCATATACAAGAGGATTATGATTGGAAGCCTCTACCATAGGATTCCTATTGACGGATTCTAATGACACCCGTTGCAATCGGCTTCCTATTGGAAACTGATACAAAAAGGATTCCTATTGGGAGCCTATACAAGAGGATTCTGATTGGATGCCTCTACAATAGGATTCCTATTGAGAGCGTTTACAAAAGGATTCGAATGACACCCGTTGTAATCGGCTTCTGACTGGAAACTAATACAAAAGGGTTCCTACTGAGAGCCTATACAAGAGGATTATCATGGGAGCCTCTACGCTAGGATTCTGACTGAGAGCGTTTACAACATGATTCGAATGACACCCGTTGCAATCGGCTTCTGATTGGAAACTAATACACAAGGATTCCTATTGAGAGCCTATACAAGAGGATTCTGGTTGTAAGCCTCTACAATAGGATTCATATTGGGAACGTTTACAAAAGGATTCTAATGACACCCGTTGCAATCGGCTTCCTCTTGGAAACTCATACAAAAGGGTTCCTAGTGAGAGCCTATACAAAAGGATTCTGATTGGAAGCCTCTACACTAGGATTCCTATTGAGAGCGTGTACAAAAGGATTCTAGTGACACCCATTGCAATCGGTCTCCTATTGGAAAGTAATACAAAAGGATTCCCATTGAGAGCCTATACAAGAGGATTTTGATTGGAGGCCTCTACAATCGGATTTCTATTGAAAGCGTGTGCAAAAGGGTTCTACTGACACCCGTTGCAATCGACTTCTCCTATTGTAAAGGATGCAGATGAGAGGCGAACGAGCGGGGACGGATGATGAGAGGGAGGACGAGCAGTGAGAGTAGGAGTGATCGCCTCAACGATTGATGCAAAATCAGTGCGTGCCGGGGGGGGGCTGCGCACATATGTATGTATGTATATATATATATATACATACACACATATATATATACATATATATATATATATATATATATACCTGGGACCCCCCCCGCCAAATCGGACCCCCCGAATCTCGGGCCCCTGGGACTCTCTGGACCACTCGGATCCGTGGCCCAAGGGGGCCCCCGGGACGGCCCTGCAAGCCCCCCAGGCTTTCCGGGCGTTTCAGAGCTCGCGGAAGCCCTTGCCGGGCCCAGGCAGCGGGCCCAAATCGGTCACGAGGGCGGCCGAACGCCCCCCCCGAGGGCCCCCAAAGGCCCCAGACACCCACCAAACGCCCGAAGACGACCCAAAGAAGAGTCCCAAGAGGCTTCCGAAATGCAGAAACACATTGACGTTCGAAGGTTTTTCCATGATTTTGGGACTGCCCTGTTCTTCGATCTTCTGGGCGTCCGGGACCGCCTGGGAGGCTCGGAAATCGCCCCGAAACCATCCGAAAGGGCTTCCAGGCAGTCCAAGAGAGCCCCAAGACGGCAAGATAGCCCATGACGGCCCAAGATGGCCCCAAGACGCCCTCCGAAGCATTCCAAATCGTGACCCAGTCGTTCAGGGAGACCGCGTTTGGAGGCAGGTTGGCCCGAGGAAGCCCCAGAGGCCCCCAAAAGACGCCCAGGGGGCCTCCAGAAGGCTTTCAGAGAGCTTGAAAAACTTCTGTGAGGCCCCCAGAGGCTCTCCAAGGAGGGGCTTTCGCAATAAGAGCTGAGGAGGATGTGGAAGAATTTGCAGGATAGGGCGAGAATGAGGAAATGAAGCGTGGAGGAAGGATAACGAATATCATTATTACAACGGCACTGCCAGAGAGGGCAACAAGGAGTTTTCGCTAAATTGCATGTTTGGCCTTCCTGCCATTCCGCCTGCATGCCAAAATTCAAGGCCCAAGGTGCCGGGCGTGAAGTGCCAATGCGGTCTTGTATGTCAAACAGACAATTTAGCGATAATTCCTTGTTGCCTTTTTTTGCATCGCCGTTGTAGTAATGCTATTCGTTTTCATTCCTCCACATGTTTTGCTTCTCATTCCGCCCTACCATGCGAATTCTTCCCCATCGTCCTCAGCTCTTTTTGCAGAGGCTCCTCCTTGGCGAGCCTCTGGGGGCCTCACAGAAGTTTTTCAAGCTCTCTGAAAGCCTTCTGGAGGCCCCCTGGGCGTCTTTTGGGGGCCTCTGGGGCTTCCTCGGGCCACCCTGCCTCCAAACGCGGTCTCCCTGAACGACTGGATCACGATTTGCAATGCTTCGGAGGGCGTCTTGGGGCCATCTTGGGCCGTCATGGGCTCTCTTGCCGTCTTGGGGCTCTCTTGGACTGCCTGGAAGCCCTTTCGGATGGTTTCGGGGCGATTTCCGAGCCTCCCAGGCGGTCCCGGACGCCCAGAAGATCGAAGAACAGGGCAGTCCCAAAATCATGGAAAAACCTTCGAACGTCAATGTGTTTCTGCATTTCGGAAGCCTCTTGGGACTCTTCTTTGGGTCGTCTTCGGGCGTTTGGTGGGTGTCTGGGGCCTTTGGGGGCCCTCGGGGGGGGCGTTCGGCCGCCCTCGTGACCGATTTGGGCCCGCTGCCTGGGCCCGGCAAGGGCTTCCGCGAGCTCTGAAACGCCCGGAAAGCCTGGGGGGCTTGCAGGGCCGTCCCGGGGGCCCCCTTGGGCCACGGATCTGAGTGGTCCAGAGAGTCCCAGGGGCCCGAGATTCGGGGGGTCCGATCTCGAGGACGGGGTTGCAGATTTTTCAATGGATTGCCCTTCCTTGGCAGCGGAGTAGTTGGGGACGGGTCCTGACATGTCTTGCGATGGGGCTCCACGTAGGATCCGACCCTTCCTTCAGAGCCAAGATTGGCCGGGAATGAGGGTGGCCCGACGTCGTGTTTTTTCACGACGTCGGCCCCCAGGTCTGCCCTGCCATCCTCGCAGGCCTAGAGGTCAGCACCAACACCACTATCGGCGGCGTGCATCCACCGAGGGAAGATGATCCCGATCTCGGCGATGGTGGTAATATTCGGGCTTCCAAGGTGGCCGAAATATCACCACCAATACCAGCATCTAGGACCAGCTTCCCCCCGTTGAGGCAGACCCCGGTGTTGGGTGTCGGTGCTCGGTGTCCAGGCCTCCCGCATCCCCCTCCCCGCCCGTGCCCTGGGGTCAGGAGGGCGGTGCCCGCTGTGCAGGCAGGAGGCCTCGGACCTGCTGCGGCTCGCGCGGCGGCCCTGAGGCGGGCTCGTGGGAGAGGAAGAGGGGGAGGAGGAGGAGGAGGAGGAGGAGGAGGAGGAGGAGGAGGAGGAGGAGGAGGAGGAGGAGGAGGAGGAGGGAGGAGGAGGAGGAGGAGGAGGAGGAGGAGGAGGAGGGAGAGGAGGAGGAGGGAGGAGGAGGGAGAGGAGAGGAGGAGGAGGAGGCGGAGGAGGAGGAGGAGGGGAGAGGGAGGGGGAGGAGGAGGAGGAGGGGGACGAGGGAGAAGATGACGAACGAACAACACACACCCATACCCATATCAGGCGATAGCAAACATGAATCAAGGGGGCGTGGATTAGCAACGGGTCCCGTTTCCATGGGGAGTCGCGGATTCCTGCCGCCGAGCGAGGCGGCACCGCACGCATTTTTGGGGAGGGCACTTCCCCCGATCCACGGATTTGGCGACCGCCCGCCAGATCCATGGATCGCTAATCCATGTTTGCGCGCCGCCAACCATCGGTGGTTCGGGGGGGGAGGGCTGGCTATGGGTATGGGAACGGGTTGTCGGACCCTGTGGGAGGCTCCCATTCGAGCAGGGACACCCATCCGACAACGCGCGCCCATAGCCCCCTCCGTCCCACCTATTGGTATGGGTGCGTGTTGTTCGTTCGTCAGAAGAGGGGAGAGGAAGGAGAATGTGGGAACGAACAATGACATAAACATAATAACTCGGCGCGGATTTCTCGGATCGGCTCTGGGGCCCTCTGGCGGTCTCTTCGGCGCCACCCCAGGCGCGCTCCGCGCCAGGGAGAGGGGTCCAGCGCGGATCCAAGAAATCCGCGTGGACTATGTGTATGTCTTTTTTTCGCCCCCCTAGAGAAAGGATGGGGCCTTGGGCCCCGTGGTGGCGCACCCCCTGACAAAGCAAGACCGAAGCAGTGCAATGGTGCCACCGATGGTATGTTCTCATCCTCGCGCTGTGCACGTGCCCTTGTTGCACCGCCATTGCCGCGCTGCGTCGGCACACGAGAGGGACTCCTGGATGGTGACAGAAGCGGCGCCCAGGGATCCTGCATGATAGAAGCAGAAGCGTGCATGTTATTACTCATGTTGTTGTTTTAGTGTGTGTGTGTGTGCGCGTGTGTGCGCGTGTGTGTGTGTGTGTGCTCGGCTTCAAAGCTGCAGCTTGCTATATGATTTGCTGTTGGTTGTTGGCTAGGCGTTGCAACTAGTTCCTTCTCTTGGTGGTAGCTCCCGTACCCTCAGTGCACTTGCAAATGCGATCAACCTTCTTGCAGCGGTGGAGCACTGACGGAAGCCCCGTAGATAGTCTGGCCAGCCAGAGCAGTCGCAGCTGCATGGGCGCACGCACGAGGACACGGCGCTCTTGCGCGGGATCTTGCGCACGAGGACACGATTACAGTCGGACCGAGGTATAATAATCGAGGTCGGTTCGGGGAGGAGGCCCTAATGTTCCTCGTGTTTGTTGGATATTGTTGTGCATCCTGGGGGAGGGCACCCTTGGCTGTTCCGTGTGTTTTGCCCGGCGGAGGGTCTCGTGTTCTTGAGGGATGTTCTTCTGTCCCAGGTCCGACTAGAACTGACGCCTGCTGAGCAGCCTGTGTTTGCCATTCGGCCGAGCTTCCGAGGATCGCACGGCGTCTGCGCACGATGACGGATCCTTCGAGCGTGGCCGGGTCGCTGCAGACGAGCGGGGACGATCTTTTTGTCAAGCACATCGGGACCACTTAGATTGTTTGACTTCGAAGCTGACATTCCGTGTTGTAGTTCAAAGATCCCCTTGGGGAACCAGGTTGCTTGCAGGGCTCGCATACGTATAGCCAGCTGTAGGCTCGGTATGAAAGTGCTGGCTTGCACCATTCAAGGATGCGAGCTGTGATGCAGTAGTGCTTTCCGAGCTATCATCGCGTCACGACTACACGATAGTTTCCTAGCTACTTGAACCCCCATATCTACGTTGCTAGGCGGCATGTGTTTGCTACGTGTGGCTGCTGTTCTACAGTCTGCGACGCCACCACGAGCCCCGTCCCCGATTCCCTTGTCAACGGACAAGTTGTCGCGTTTTTTGCCCAATTCGAGCTAGCTTGCGATAGTTCCAGCTGTGCTGCACTCAAAAGCTGGGTCGTTGACGAACTCCGTCAAGGCCATCTGTTGGATATCTTCCGAGCCCAGGGGGGTATCCACTTCGGCGGCGATGTCTCAGCCATCCATCATGCACGTGTTGGCAATGCCCTCGACTTCAGGCGGGCTGAACGTCCTAGCGAAGACGAGCGTGGCTCCTACATATCATGGTACTGGCCTGATCAGAAACAATCCTGCTCCATCACTGAGCCAGAACCCCTCGTTCGTGATTGTGCCCTGTGCGAGCCGCAGATATTGATTGGCGTACAGGCTGGGCGAGACAGCGACCACTGCATTTTAGTGCAAGCTTAAGAACGTGTTGGTCGCGTCGTGGCACTTCGTGTTGTGTGACATGCAAGCAGCCTGGAGCCGAAAGGACGAAATGAGCTGAACTCCCATGGCCGGTTCTCGCCGCCGCCATTATGACTGCCATGTATCCAATCGTTTGGGACCCAGGGTGCTTGCTTCGGATGATGTGTTGCGGTGTGGGACGTTCTGACCACCGTGCACATGACCATCTGAGCCGTTCGCCGTCTGCGTCGATCCTCCGATTTCCCGTTGGGGCCATGCATGACATTGGACAGCTGTTCTGAGGCGCTTCTTCAAATTAACAAGATTGCTCGAAGGAGTCCCTGAACGACTTTGAGGGGCGGGATCTCAGTGTCGCTTTGTCCAATACCGTGTCGCTCTGCTGGGCGCTTTTTGGGTTAACCGATTTTGGTGATAATATTCTCCGAAGTCCTTCGGTAGGGGTGCTCCAGGGTTGGTATCTCCACAGTTTCATTCTCGACGCATCTCTCCAGAAGCTTGCCATTTACGTGTCAAATGTACATTAAATCATCATGAATGGTCTGGTCTCTCTCCTCCTGCCGTGCTTCGGCCGTGATGTGCTCGATCGGTGCCAGTTTTGCAAGGCACCCATTGTCCTGCCTGATCTTCTCACCTTCTCGCACCAGCCTGCTGCCAGAGCCCCAGATGTGTGTGTGTGTGTGTCGTTTCGTACTTTCGCTGCCTTGGTCCGCGTTGCCGTCCAGAGATGAGTCGAGCACTCAATCCCTACAGCACGTAGCTGTTGGAATGCTTAATCAGCGCGTTGAGGTCTGCAACTCTGCACTGCATGATGTCCTCCCAAACTACTGAGCTATCTTCTCGAGCATTGTGGTGATTTCCCAGGTAGCTTTCGAAATGCACTGGCACTCGTATTGCATTGCAGGCTAGAATCTCATGGTGCGAACTCATCGTCACATTTGGTGACATGTTTGCTCGAGCCCGGATTGCGTAAGTTTCTGAACGGGTTCCAACATTTGAGCAGGCGCCTGATTCACGATAGTAGCAGGTCCCGCACGCATCCGATCAGTGTGTTTTGCGCCATGAACTGTGTTTAACGGAAGTCTGCTTCATTGCCGTACTTTCCATCTCATTAAGCACATGTTGCCTTTTCCCATGCACTTGCCGAGGACAAAATCGTGCGTATCGATTGGGTCGTGTTGCACGTTTCGGAATGAGATGTCTGTTACATTGCGTGTTGGCTACTAGCAAGCTCCATCCACTAAGAGTTGTCCGCAAAAGGCAGTCCAAACCATAGCATATCATCGTCACGTGCGTGAGGTCCGCCACCATTGTCATCGTAGTACTTGACGATCCCAACGTTGAAATCTGTGAGGATCATGGCTGCCGTTCTCTTGCTGCACATGTCTTACGACGTTTGCGTGAACCTCCGTCACCTCGTAAGTGGTGCGTGGTGCTCTCGACGTTTGCCTAGGCGTGCCTAGGCGGGAATCATATGCCGATGAGCTCCAGCTTGCGATGGCTGAGCACCGCCCACAGCAAATTAGGCGTTGGAGGTATTCGCTTCAGCGGGCTCCGTCGACATCTCGAGCTTCTGAGTAAAAGTGTGATGCCGCAAGAAGTTTTAACATGTCGTTCCCTCCAGAAACCAGCTCAACTGCCCATGCGTGCTTGGCGGTCCTCGTCTCCTCAATTGCCTGACTATTGGACTTGGCGTGCGAGCCGACTGAGTGCATACACACCTCCATCATGTGCGGAGCCAGCGAGGTCGAATAATCGTTTGTACGCTCGTGCTGCGCACGGACGGTGCGGGGCCGCACGCAGGAGACCAGATTCCGCTTGCCATCGTGGCCCGGCATGCAGAAGCTGCCGTCACGGGCTCCAGCTGAGAGCGTGCGCGGCCAGCATGCCTGAGGTCGATCACTGGTGCGTCAAGGTGGCGAGGCTGCCGGTGTCATGGCTCGGGCTACGGACGAAGAACGAGGAAAATCGTAGGACCGAGACGAGTGAGAAAGGGAAGGGGGAAGCCGTGAGCAGAAGTGGCGATCGTGGTAGCGGCACCGTACGGGAATAGGGTGTATTGGAGGGGGGCGAGAGAGAGAGAGAGAGAGAGAGAGAAAAGGAGAGGGGGAGAGAGAGAGAGAGAGAATAACACATTATCCAGCCGAAAGACCCAACAATGCGCGATAGTGTAGACCGCGTTGTGGATACCGCTTTCGGTGGAGCTCCATATGGGGCCACGAACCGTGTGAGGGGTGTGCCAAAATGGGCGTCGGGCGCATGCGGCCTGTGCCACTAGGGCTTTCGGTGGAGCTCCTTGTAGGGTCACGAACCGTGTGAGGGGTGCGCCGAAATGGGTGGCGGCTCCCGCATGCGGACCCTGCCGCTTGGGCCTTCGGTGGAGCTCCCTGTGGGCCCACGAACCGTGTGAGGGGTGTACCACACTGGGTGGCGGTCCCCGCATGCGGACCCTGCCACTGGGGCCGTCGGTGGAGCTCCCTGTGGGGCCACGATCCTCGTGAGGGGTGTGCTAAAATGGGTGGCGGTCCCCGCATGCGGACCCTGCCGCTGGGGCCTTCGATGGAGCTCCTTGTGGGGCCACGAATAGTGTGAGGGGTGTGCCTAAATGGGTGGCGGTCCCCGCATGCGGACCCTGCCGCTGGGGCCTTCGGTGGAGCTCACTGTGGGGCCACGATCCTCGTGAGGGGTGTGCCAAAATGGGTGGCGGTCCCCGCATGCGGACCCTGCCACTTGGTCCTCCGGTGGAGCTCCCTGTGGGGCCACGAACCGTGTGAGGGGCGTGTGCCTACAATGACATGAGTGGCGGTCCCCGCATGCGGACCTTGCCGCTGGGGCCTTCGGTGGAGCTCCCGGTGGGGCCACGATCCTTGTGAGGTGTGTGCTCAAATGGGTGGCGGTCCCCGCATGCAGACCTTGCCACTTGGGCCTTCGGTGGAGCTCCCTATGGGGCCACGAACCGTGTGAGGGGTGTGCCTACATGGATGGCGGTCCCCGCATGCGGACCCTGCCGCTGGGGCCTTCGGTGGAGCTCCCTGTGGGGCCACGAACCGTGTGAGGGGTGTACCACACTGGGTGGCGGTCCCCGCATGCGGACCCTGCCGCTGGGGCCTTCGGTGGAGCTCACTGTGGGGCCACGATCCTCGTGAGGGGTGTGCCAAAATGGGTGGCGGCCCCCACATGCGGACCCTGCCGCTGGGGCCTTCGGTGGAGCTCACTGTGGGGCCACGATCCTCGTGAGCAAGCAAGCAAGAAGAAGGCCATGCATCCTGAAGGACGCGTGGGCTGGCAAGGACACTCATGGTTCCTGCCGTGAGTCGCTGCGACAGACAATCGGCGCCAGCGCGGATTGGACTAAACAGCCCGAGAGGAGGAGGAGGAGGAGGAGGAGGAGGAGGAGGAGGAGGAGGAGGAAGAGGAGGAGGGGGAAGAGGGGGAGGACCTGCATGCAATGAAAAATGATGGAAATCTGACCATTCTATACACTTCTGTTGCCCACTGCTGCCGGGGGCGGCCTCGACGCCGAGCGGTCGCCCAGCTTCGCGGGGTCCCGTCCCAATTGCACAGGACCTCCCTGACCAGGGAACCGGCGCTGTTGTTCGCGATCTTGTTGCACGGGGCGATCTGCCTCGAGGCCAAGATGTTCGAGAGCGGTTGTGCTACTGCTCTGTGTAGGACATCATCGTTGCTGACCCTTGATACATACGAGCACGGGATGCCCATGATGCGCCTCAAACTCCTGCAATGGAAAGCATCCAGCCGGGCCCTCTCAGCGCGTAGTAGCCAGACAGAGAGGAGAGAGTACAACAGCTTGCTCAGCACACACGTCTCGTAAATCTTCATCTCCCGCGCCAGACCTATGGAAGAATGGGACCACATCTTTCGAAATGTGTTGAAAACCGCAGTCGATTCTCCAATGCGCCGTGAGAGTTCTGATGCAGCCTTTCCGTTGCAAGTGATGAGCCCACCTAAATAAACGGCTTCCCGCACCGTGCTGATAGGACCACCATCTGGCCTCGTGATACTCATTCCTGTCGAGATCTGTATCTGAACAGTCTTATCCCAATTCAGCTCTAAGCCGTACTTCGCGCCCTCCTCGACGACGGCGTTGAGAATCTGCTGCAGGTTCTCTTGGTGCTGTGAGGCCAACAAGGTGTCGTCAGCATATAGAGCATCCCTGGTGACCAAGAACGCCAGCTCATCACGAAGATCAGCGCGGTCGAACACGTCGTGCAGGAGGACGCTTTGCACGGCGACGAAGAGGTAGGGCGATAGCGGGCACCCTTGGGCGATCCCTGCGCGCTGACGTCTTTCTGAAGATAATCCCGTGTGGTCGTGTATGACGAAGTACCGGCTCTCGTATATCGCCCCGATCATGCTCACCATCTCCGCAGGCAGCCCAAACCTGCCAAAATGGGTGGCAGGTCCCCGCATGCGGACCCTGCAACCGGGGCCTGCGGTGGAGCTCCCTGTGGGGCCACGAGCCGTGCGAGGGGTGTGCCAAAATGGGGGGCGGTCCCCGCATGCGGACCCTGCCGATGGGCCTTCGGTGGAGCTCCCTGTGGGGCCACGACCCATGTGAGGGGTGCGCCTACATGGGCAGCGGTCCCCGCATGCGGACCTTGCCGCTGGGGCCTTCGGTGGAGCTCCCTGTGGGGCCACGACCCATGTGAGGGGTGCGCCTACATGGGCAGCGGTCCCCGCATGCGGACCCTGCCGCTGGGGCCTTCGGTGGAGCTCCCTATGGGGCCACGAAGCGCTGTCCTGGGAGGCGTTGACGCATGCGGCCTTAGGCGGATGGGAAGAGGGAGGAGGAGGAGAGGAGAGGAGAGGAGACGCGGGGCGATGTCCGTTCAAAACGAGGACCCAACACGACAGGATGGTTGGGAAAAAAGATAGAGAGAGAGAGAGGGAGAGCGGACAAGCAAACGGGAATCCCGTCGACACCCTGCTACTGCAGTAGCCGAGGCCGCCATCGCACTCTTGGCGGCGGTGCGCATCTTGAGGACCAGGGAATGTTGAAACAACCACCCCCCATCGCGAAGCGTCTGTAGCAAGAGGCGGGGTGCCGAGCAGGCGATACTCCAAATCTTTCTGCGCCCCGCGTGGGAAAACGTCCCATGTCGGCGAAGCCCCGGTTGGCGGCCGGGGGACAAGGGCTTGACCGCTACGCGGTGTGCGAACGACGAGGCGTCCCCCGCGGCCGCAGCCAGGCCCCGACGACGCGTGGCCGCGCGGGCAATCGGGCTGGCGAAACGTAGGCCGAAGGCCGTGATCAAGGGCCGTGCCTGGCGTGCAAGATTGAGCGAGAGAGAGAGGGAGAGGGAGAGGGACAGAGAGGGAGAGATACTGGTAGAGAGAGAGAGAGAGAGAGAATGAGTGGGTGAGAGAGAGAGAGAGAGAAAGAGGGGGAAACATGGATAACGAGAGAGAGAGAGAGAGAAGCAGAGAGAGAGAGAGAGAAACATAGAAAGACGGAGAGGGAGAGGGAGAAAGAGAGAGAGAGAGAGATGGAGGACTGGAGAGAGACTGAGAGGAAGCGAGAGGGAGAGAGAGAGAGGATCAAAAAAACGGGAGGGAGAGAGAGAGAGAGAGAGAAAGAAAGAAATAAAGAAAGGGAGAGGGAAAGAGAGAGAGAGAGAGAGAGGGCTGCGCAGGTGCACGAGATCTGAGGACGGCTGATTGCCATCCTGGTGAGGTTGCATAGCTGATATGGTGACGCTTCGCGTATGGCCACCAATCAACGCAGAAAGGATCCCCAGTCGAGATGTATTTCCCAACTCAGAGCTTGCCTCTGTAGAGCCCCAAGCGGATTCATATGGTTAGGTGAGGTTTGGCGCCGATTTCGGCGGCACGCCCAGGTGCCCGGGTGCCCGGTAGCCCTACAGCCCTATAGCCCCATAGCCTTTACAGCCTTATAGCACTATAGCCCTATAGCCCTATAGACTTAATAGCCCTATAGCCCTCATAGCCTTATAACCCTCTAGCCCAATAGCCCAAATAGCCCTATAGCCCGTAGCTTTATAGCCCCATAATCATATAGCCCTATGGCCCTGTAGCCCTCATAGCCTTATAGCCCGATAGCCCTATAGCCCTATAGCCCGACACCCCTATAGCCTCATAGCCCTATAGCCTTATATATCTTATAGCCCTATAGGCCTATAGCCTTATACTCTTATAGCCCAATCGCCCTATAGCCCTATAACTCTTTAGTCCTATTTACCTATAGCCATCTAGACCCATAGCCCTATGGTCCTATACCCCTATAGCCCTACAGCCCTAAACAGAGGATGATGGGTTTTTCTCCGGTATGATGATCAGGAAAGCGTAGGAGTATGCAGTGGAATGACGAGGGGACAGCCATCAAACCGAACCTTGGTAGCAGTCTGAGCAGGCTCAGGAGTCAATCACAGAGGTCCTCGCGGATCTCTCGATCTGAGAGTCTCTGGAAGATTCTTTGAGGCCATCTTTCGGCCAGCGTTGTCAGGGCCATGTGGGATGGGCTCCGTTGTGGCGTGTCGTGGTCTTCTTTTAGGCGGCGAGCCTCTGGCTGAACCCCGACGCTTCGCCACGCCGGTTAAAAAATGGGTGCACCTCTCCTCCCCTCCTGCATTGTGTAGGGCCTCATTCGGGGAATCCGGATGTCTCTTAATTACCTAACAGCGAAGACTGATAGGTTTCTAGTTGACTCAAAAGAGCTCACAGATCACTCCACAGGGGGGTCCGGGCAGGCGTTGGGAGTTGCCGGCCGGGCCTGTGCCGGGCTCGTTTTTCACCAACAGTCACACACTTCGTGCTCGTCGACCTCTCAGAACCCCATTCCCAGGCCACATTCTGAATAACCGGATGCAACAGTCACACACTTCGTGCTCTTCGACTTCCCAGAACTCCATTCCCGGGCCACATTTTGAATGCCCGGAGCCAACTGTAGGCCACTTCGTGCTCTTCGACTTCCCAGAACTCCATTCCCGGGCCACATTTTGAATGCCCGGAGCCAACTGTAGGCCACTTCGTGGTCTTCGAGTTCCCAGAACTCCATTCCCGGGCCACATTTTGAATGCCCGGAGCCAACTGTAGGCCACCGTGTGTAGGCCACTTCGTGTTCTTCGAGTTCCCAGAATTCCATTCCCGGGCCACATTTTGAATGCTGAGACAGGCTGAGGCTGAGGCTGAAGCAGGCTGAGGCTGAGGCAGGCTGAGGCTGAGGCCGAGGCTGAAGGCAGACTGAGGCTGAGGCTGAAGCAGGCTGAGGCTGAGGCTGAGGCTGAGGCTGAGGCAGGCTGAGCTGAGGCTGAGGCTGATGCAGGCTGAGGCTGAGGCAGGCTGAGGCTGAGGCCAAGGCTGAAGGCAGACTGAAAGCAGGCTGAGGAGGCTGAGGCTGAGGCTGAGGCTGAGGCAGGCTGATGCTGAGGCAGGCTGAGGCTGAGGCTGAGGCTGATGCAGGCTGAGGCTGAGGCAGGCTGAGGCTGAGGCCGAGGCTGAAGGCAGACTGAGGCTGAGGCTGAAGCAGGCTGAGGCTGAGGCTGAGGCAGGCTGAGGCTGAGGCTGAGGCTGAGGCAGGCTGATGCTGAGGCAGGCTGAGGCTGAGGCTGAGGCTGATGCAGGCTGAGGCTGAGGCAGGCTGAGGCTGAGGCCGAGGCTGAAGGAGGCTGATGAGGCTGAGGCTGAGGCTGAGGCTGAGGCTGAGGCTGAGGCTGAGGCTGAGGCAGGCTGAGCTGAGGCAGGCTGAGGCTGAGGCTGAGGCTGAGGCTGAGGCTGAGGCAGGCTGAGGCTGAGGCTGAGGCTCATGCAGGCTGAGGCTGAGGCAGGCGGAGGCTGAGGCCGAGGCTGAAGGCAGACTGAGGCTGAGGCTGAAGCAGGCTGAGGCTGAGGCTGAGGCAGGCTGAGGCTGAGGCTGAGGCAGGCTGAGGCTGCGGTTGTGACTGCGACTGCCGTTGCCACTGCGACTGTCATCCCGAATGCGACTACGACTGCGAGAACAGCAGAATTCTACAACTGGATTCTCATCCGAATCTTAAGGGGAATGCTTCCAGATATGCTCCTACACATCGCTGTTAGGTTGCTTTGCCGGGATAATTTTTTGTTAGCCCCTCTCAGCGGCCTTGGGGTCCCTCGTCGGGCCACACTGGGGGACGGCGATCGAAAGAGGGGGCGGCGCCGATCAGCACCGCCCTCCTGCGGAGCCCCAGAGATGATCTCATGGAGCCCTCTTCGGGACTGCCTTGCAGCGCTCTTGGGGGGCCTCCGGGACCGTCTGTGGGTTGCCCCCTGGACACCCCGTTGGGGCTCTCTTGGGCCATTTTGGAACCATCCTGAGTCAGAGGCGGGCGAGGGGGGGGAAGTGAGAAGGAGACGGCCTGCTCAGAAGGCGGCTTCTGGGACGTTTTCTGCGTCTTCGGGGAGGACTCCGAAAACCTCTCAGAAGGCAGGGGGACTTCCGAGCCTTCTGAGAAGGCCCGCCCCTTCTCACTCCCCGTAAGTCGGGCCTGTCCCTCTACAGGAAGAATATTCAACAATAGTTTCAAAACATTTGTCTGGGGACGATTGTTCTACTATTCTTGTATTTTTAGTATTGGATCATTTTTCATTTGTCATCCAACATCCGCCTGTAGAGGGGGGTGGACACGCCCGACCTAACACTTCCCACTCTCGCTCGCCGCCTAGTTGCCCCTGGACATCTCGTTGAGGCTATCCTGGGCCATTTGGCAGCCATCCTGGGGCCCCCAAAAGCCCTCACAAGCAAAAAACACGAAACGGCGAGCATCATGCACAATCTTCGGTGTTGAGTGATGTTTGCATCATTGGGAGGCTCCGTGGCCACTTGGAGCGGCCTTTGGGCCGCATCGGGGCCTCTTCGAGGCATAGTAGAGGTCTTTTTGAACCACCTCGGAATATGGTGTGCCGTCTCGGAAGCCATCTTGTGATATCTAGGACCATCCTGGGCCGTCAGGGCAAGTCTTCGGCGTGGGGGTGGCAGAGGGGTGCACCCTTCCCGACGGGGAGGAAGGGGTTCGAAGAATAATAAGCGTTCTAAACCATTTACGCCTGGAGGGCTGGTGGGATTTCGCCCTCGGACTCGACTATTACCGTTGGTCCTGACCTTTTGAAAACACCACGCGCTTGATATTAACGTACCACAACAAAGCACCCTAGTACAGACAGAAAGAACCATGTCTAACGAAACGCTGCTGAGTCCCTGGATTTCCGATCGACTGAGCCACTGCACGAGAAGCCATGTATCCACACAGAGATGTGATGGGCAATGGGGTAGCGGAGCTAGATGTTGAGTGGCATCGTTGTGCACACTCGAGCCAGGAAGCGGCCGAGGGTGGAGGCTGATCGGGCATGATGACTGAGGTTGACGGCGGAGGGGGCGGGGCCGACCAGGGGTCCACAGAGGTGATCTTTCTGAGGGGGTGGCGGCGCATCGACAGGCGCGGTCTTCCTGATGATGGCGGTGGGCAGAAGGACAAGGCGACGATGATGGTTGAAGGGATGATGCTGATGATGATGATGATGATGATGCTGATGCTGATGATGATGATGATGATGATGATGATGCTGATGATGATGATGATGATGATGATGATGATGATGATGATGATGATGATGATGATGATGATGTAGTGCGCGAACATGTGGAAGCGACATCGTTCCGACTTGAGAGCGGCAACGACCGCATCCAAATCAGATCACGCCATAGCCAAGTTGCTGCCTGCGACATTGAAGCTGATCCGATGCGGGCAGTCCGGGGTAGCTTCTTCGCTGGAAAGGGGTTTGGCTCATGAGCGGCGTAGCTGGCCCGTCCATACCAACCTGGGTCAGGCGCAGGAGCATGAACCAGCCGAGCTGAGGGATCGGGTGGTCGGCCCAAACGAGCATGATCGAGTCAATACGGTCGCGGTGCGATGATGATGGTAATGGTGATGATGGCGATGGTGATGGTGACGATCATGATCATTATCATAACGATGATGATGATGATGATGATGATGATGATGATGATGATGATGATGATGATGATGATGATGATGATGATGATGATGATAAGGAGGAGGAGGAGGAGGAGGAGGAGGAGGAGGAGTACGATGATGAGGATGATGATGACGGCGATGTCGATGACGATTTCAATTAGAAGCATGAGGATTATGATGATGATGGTTATGGTGATGGTGATGGTTATGTTGATGATGTCTCTAATGCTGATGAGGATGATGATGCGAATGATGATGATAATGATGATGGTAATGATGCTGATGCTGCTGCTGCTGATGATGATGATGATGGTGCTGATGCTGATGCTGATGATGATGCAGATGATGATGATGATCATCATCATGACCATGATCATGATCATGATGGTGGTGGCGGTGGTGATGATGATGGTGATGGTCAAAGTGAAGCTGATGTCGAAGAGTTACGAAGCCGAGCGTAAAGGGGAAGCTGAGGGAGCCCTGGGAGCCGATTGCGATTGTGTCGCAAAATTACGAAGCTCCCGCTCGAGGCTTCTTGACAGCCCATTCGAAGAGGATATTCCCGCTCGAGACTCCCTCGCAATCCGCTCACGAACGCTCAAGGGGCACCCTACTCGATAAGAAGCAGGCGTCGGACAGCTGGCCGACAGCGTCTGGGGATGCTGCCGTGACCCACCCTGCGAGAGGTTCTGGATCCC